ATCCCTGCTCTCCCACTGGGCTGTGCATTCCCAGGACGCATCCCTGCATTCCCAGGACTGGGCTGTGCATTCCCAGGACTCATCCCTGCTCTCCCACTGGGCTGTGCATCCTGGGACACACCCCTGCATTCCCAGGACACATTCCTGCATCCCAGGACACATTCCTGCTCTCCCAGGACATATCCCTGCTCTCCTACAGGGCTGTGCATTCCCAGGACACCTCCCTGCTCTCCCACCTGGCTCATCCAGGCGCTGGACCCGAAGGAAAGACGAGAAAACCCAAAAAAAAACCTGGAGAAGGGAGAGAGGCCCGTGCCGGGGTGTGTGTGTGTGTGTGGGGGGAGAGAGGACGAGCAAAGTACCGAAGTTCAAGCACCAGGAGGACAAAAAAAAAAACCCCGAAAAACACAGAAAACAAAACAAAAAAACCAAAACCCCCAAATTCCCGAGGGGGGGAAGGGAAGGGGCCGAGGGGGACCCTTCTGGTTGTTCCCTGGCGGTGGCTGGAATGGCGGGAAAGGCGGGAATGGCGGGAAAGGCGGGAATGGCGGGGGGGGCTCACTGAGGTAGCGGCACCAGCACTTCCACGTAGTTGAGCGGGAAGAAGCCGGAGTGGCCGTGGATCATCCCCTCGTACCAGTTCTCGTCGATCTGGTTCGTCAGGGTGATGATGTCGCCCTCCTTGAAGCCCAGCTCGCCGTCGTTCTCCGGCTCGAAGTCGTACAGGGCTTTGCAGCAGGGCTGGTCCAGGGGGGCTGCGGGCACAGGGGGGGGCACAGGGGTCAGCAGGACCCCCAAACCCTCCTCTTTGGCACCCAGCACTCCTAAATGTGTTGGATTTCCCAGCCTGTCCCAATGGAGGTTGTTGTAATGAGGGGAAGCTTTGTTATTAAGCGCTGGGATATCCTGGTTTTTAGCTCTTGCTTGGATGGAAAACTCCCAATTCCAGCCTTGTTTTAGGGGCTGTGGGCACAGGAGGGGCACAGGGGTCAGCAGGACCCCCAAACCCTCCTCTTTGGCACCCAACACTCCTAAATGTGTTGGATTTCCCAGCCTGTCCCAATGGGCAGCGTTGTTATTAAGGCACCCTTTGGATATCCTGGGTTTTAGCTCTTGCTCTGATGGAAAACTCCAAATACAGCCTTGGTTTAGGGGCTGTGGGCACAGGGGTCAGCAGGACCCCCAACCCTCCTCTTTGGCACCCA